TACTCCATTTTCACGGAAAATAAGCTTAATCTCGGAAACCCAATTTCAAATTTATGGAGAAAGAAACGGTCACCCCCTTTACTTTTTCCTCGTTGCTCTTTTTATAGCCTTCACCATGGTGTGTAGATTGTAGGCAGTTTATTAGAAATGCATTAAGCAGTTACTTGAGATCCCTTAACATGGTTCCACAATCTCACTATGCATGTTCGTGTAACAATCCCATTTTGGGACGTGGGATATGGAGTTGGACGCGGCCTACAAAAATAAATTTAACAGTATTAATAATATAATAATAATAGTAAGTAATTATTAAAATAATATATATATAGATTTAAGTTCGGTCAAAAACAGGTGTCTACCCCTGCAGAGAAGCTCTTGTCCGTTTCAGATCTAGTCTCAGATGCAGAAGTTCATCGAGCGATGTTTGAGATTAATCCGTCGAAGGCTCCAGGTTGGATGGGTATCATTCTCTTATGGTGATAATTCCAAAGTACCGAACCCAGTGAATTTTGGTCAGTTCAGACCGTAAGTCTCTGTATAGTATGTACAAGGTTGTTAGGAAGATTATTGTGAATCAACTGAAACATTTTCTCCCTAATTGAATTGACGAGACTCAGACTAGTTTTGTTCCTGTGAGGATTATCATAAATAATCGTTATAGCACTGAAAATAATTCACTCGATGGAAAGAAAGCAAGGTTGTAAACGATGGATGATGATTAAGATTGATCTTGAAAAGGCATACGATCGACTAGAGTGACACTTCATTGAGGGTAAGTGAGGGATATGGGAATTCTGACAATGATGATTCGTATGATCATGTCATGTGTCTCATCAGTTAGTACTCAGATTTTATGGAATGGACGACTAACTGAAAGTTTTCGGTCAACTAGAGTTTACGATAAGCGGATCCTCTTTCACCCCATCTTTTTGTGTTATGCATGGAACGCTTAAACCAAGCGATTTAGGAAGCAGTAGAGAAGGGACGTGGAAATCGATAAAAATTGCTCGAAACATACCTTATCTATTACATCTGTTCTTTGTTGATGACCTTGTGTTATTTGTCGAATCATCCTTATCTCATCTTGAAGCGTAATGCTTTGGGACATAAAGTTAGTCTTTCAAAGACTAATATTTGTTTTTCGAAGAATGTTGATGAGGATACTTGAAGAAATATCAGTAATGGGTTTTAGTTCACCAGAGTATATGATTTGGGGAGGTATTTTGGATTATTTTACTCCACAATTGGGTTACGGCGGCAACTTATGGGTACCATGTTCAGAAAGTTCAAGAAGCTTAGCAGGATGGAAAGTGCGATAGCTTTCTTTCGCAGGAGAATTATAATGGCCAAAGTTGTTATAGCATCGATTCCAGTTTATGCTATACAGACTAGTTATCTCCCAAAGAAATTTGTGCTGAGCTTGAACGGATCATTAGAAACTTCATCTGGGGTGATACCAATGGGCGGAAACATATTCATTTGGTGAACTAGGAGGAAGTATGTACACTGAGCAACTATGGCGGTCTCGGTTTAAGAAGAACACACATACTAAATGAAGTTTTTATGATGAAAATGGTCTTTAGGCTTGTGAATGATGCATCACAACTTTGGGCTTGAGTTTTGTGTTCCAAATACAGGGTGTCGGAGCTTGTTCCGAATGTGATTTCTCCTAGAGGGTATTTTGAATTTGGGTAGGAATATCACTTGTTTAGAGCGACATTGTGTATAATCTTCGGTGGACGCTTCGAAATGGTAATTTAATTGATTTCTGGTTTGATGATTGGGTAGGCGATTGTAGTCCTTACACTTTCTTGTTCTTAATCCGAGCTATTTTCCGACTAGAGGGATAAAGGTTTCAGCTATGGTGTATTCCAATATTGGAAGTGAGATGAGTTCCAAGCCTTGCTTCCCATGAAAGCCCGACTTAATTTGGCTGCGATTCGGCCACCACTTGCAATGGGTGGCACATATATAGCTGGATGGAGGTTATCCACGAAGCATGTGTTTACAATTTCAAGTGCGTACGAGTGTCGGGGAGATGAGCAAAGCAATGAGCGTTCTAATCCTTGGACTGTTATTCAGCAGTATAGAGGTTCCCCACGAATTTAGATGTTACTATAGACCATTTGTAAGAATCGCCTACTCTCCAACGATGAACGAGTTCGCTGTCATTTGGCTGATGATACGAGTTGCTCTATATGTGGTGCAGCGAGGGAGACGACCTACATTTTTCGTGAGTGTCACAAAGCTAAGTCCGTTTGGCAAGAATTAGTACAACCGAATAGATGGGAACAAACATTAATCTTTAGATTGTTCAGAACTTACAACAGGTAGATCACTACCCAAATATATGTGCTAATTGGGATTTGATGTTTTGGTTAGTGTTATGGAATCTCTGGAATCGTCGAAATAAAATCGTGTTTGATGAGAAGTATTATGACGGTGAATCAGTTCAGTAGAAAAGCTAATAGGGTCTGCAGGAAATTGAAATGACCCTTGCTAACTATAGAAGGAACCGGACAGCGCAAGGGCAAAGGGTGGATAAATTTTTTTTGGGAGTCTCTGTTGGATCATTGTATGAAGCTTAATTCGGATGGAGCAAGGCAGGCCTCGACGGGACTAGCAACGTGCGGGGGGTGTTCAGGGATCATCGTGGAGAATAGATTCAGGGGGTTTTTTTTTAATAGAATTGGATTTGCTCGGCTTTTGATGTTGAATATTGGGGAATTTGTGTTGGTTTTGAGCTGGCTTGGGAGAGGAACATGAGATAGATTGTGGTGGAAACGGATTGCAAAGACGCTTTGAGCGTTTTGGAAGGTAAGGTGGGGTGCGAAGGTATATCCCCCTTTGTGCCACATCTTCGTGCTTTGACTCAACGCAACTGGAGTCTTCAATTTCATTTTCTGCCTAGAGAATGCAACATGGTAGCAGATGGGTTGGCGAGCATGGCCTGGGGAGATCCGAGTTGGAACCGTTTATATGTACAGGCGTCGGAGGAAGTTCGCGAGAAGCTTGAAACAGAAGCACTAGGTGTCCTGGCTTTGTAAGCCAATTTTGCCTCCTTTTCCTCAAAAAAAAAAGTCACTCTAATTCTTCTTTTTCTTTGAATGTTTTAACCTTCAATATTTTATTTTAAGAAAAAATACTTTTAACGTTTGGCTAAATAATCATTTTGACCACAATTATTTTTAGAGTATTTTGGACCAATGTTTCATTTTGACGAATATTTTCCATCCACAAATGAACATTTTTATCTTAAAATAAAATGTTAGAACTATGATACTCTAAAAAAGTCAAAGTGATTATTTAATCAAATATTATGGAATCAAAATAATATCATCTACAAAAAAGATAAATAATACAAATGTGTAAATAATGTAAACATAATCAATTTGCTAACAAACTCGATTGAAATTAGATAAATGTTTTAGAGCTCAAGTTATGAGCAATCCATCCCCTCCTGAGAAGAAAAAAAGAACATGAGATATTAAAGGTTTCCATCTTGAAGAAGAAGCTACCAAATAAAGTTTAGCCATCAGTTAACCTGCAGTTATCATCAAAATGGAACCGATCAAGTATTATATTTACAAAGTTAATTACGATTTGCGAGTGCGTTAATAAATAAATAAAAAACAGACATGCAAGCAATCATACATGGAGCTTTTCAATAAGTGATAATTTTATATATTGACCTAAACTTTAATCAATAGTATTTAATTGAAATTTTAAGTAATTGTATTAGTTTTAAGATTATATTAAATATCTTTAATATAATATATATTTATTAATAGGGAGAATATTACTTGATTTGATTTAAAAAAAGTATATTCTAGAGTTGATCTTGTTACTTTTTTTGTGGTTGATTTGATTTCCCATATTTAGGCCCGATCAATTTTTATAAATTCGATTTAACTAAAATAATTTAAAATCAAATTTGAGTTATAAAATAAAATTTGTCAACTTAAAAAATTTAATTTTTTAACTCAACTTAATTCGATCGAATGTTCACTCCTACCTCGAGTATCTCATACTACACGCCCACAACACACTGCTGATCAGTGACACCGTCATCACTCAAGGGACCAGCGCCAAAACAGCCCACAACCACATAGCACAAGGCAAGACGCCCCACGCTACACCACCTAGATTCAAGATGCACAATCCATTCCCCTTTTAGCAAGGGCATCCGCTTTCGCCTCCTAATATACATAACAACGTACATGACAGCAAACAAACATGATTTTATATTAAGAGATAAATTTTAAAATTTTAAAAAATAGATGAACTTATAACATTTCTGAAAAAATTCAGGAGAATAAAAATTAAAATATATAATAATTTAAAATGACTACTCCCTCGATCCCATCCCGATCTATCTCCAAATACAATCCGCATCGATCTTCATAAACCAGTTCCAATACCTCCCAAGAAAATTCGGTAATGTTTGTATGTTGCATATTAAATTTAATTTAGAAAAAATAAGGCCAATGTAAAGTAAATAATGGTTGAAGAAACATTGCCGAATGATCACCCAAGGTGTGTGTGTTAGAGGCCAATTTGACGGTCAAGATTCAGGAATATGAGGGTGTGTTTCAGACATGTACACGAAAGGGCTTAATACGACAAATTATTGCATTGTCATATGCCTGAAACGCACAGTGTCCTCCAGCTCGGAGCAATCACAAATTGTTAAATGTAAAGTATTTGAAGGATCAGATTTATCAACAATCCCATTTTCGTCTGCAGTGGTGAAAATGAGGGAAATAGAAAGGAGAGTGAAGCAGATACAGAATCCAGAGGTAAAGCAAACTTCAGCTCATAAACATTAAAAGGCAAAAAAGAAAAGGTACCATTGTTGAATAAGCAAGCAAACACGTACTACCTTCCTATGTTATTACATTACATCAGGGAAAGAAATATCAGATATCGAATCTAACGGTGCTGAACTGAGCATGATCTTGATATCTGATGAAGAAGTGACGGGTTAACTAGGGGGTTTCATTGCATGATATCGACAGTTAATGGGAACAGAAGTTTCTTTCTTTCTGCTTCTTCTTCTTCTTCATTCATTCATTGATTTTTTCTTTTATCTTATAAAGTCATGGACAAAGCTTGTTGCCCTATCTGTGACGTTGAGTCTCCAAGAAAGGTAAGGAATTAATGGCGTTTGCTGCACTAGCCCTTCTTTCTTCTTTCTTGAATCGAATTCCACAGGCATTGCAAAGTGACTGCAATTAAACAACGAAAAGGTTGACAGACGTATATAGAATAATTGGGATTTGTGTCTTTTTGTATTACCTTTGGACCTCTTGGTCTGTTCTTCCAAAGTCGTGTAGAACTGGTGCCGAAGTTGGCACAACGGCGAGCTAAGAGAGGATCAATGTCGGAGCTGTTACTGCCATTTCCATTGCTTCCGCGGCTAGCTTTGGTGGTTAGGAGCAGTTCCCAGCAATATTTAGACATGCAGGGATCACCAGAGGTACGTTCATGGCGGGTATGCTTGTCATCTTCTTCCGAGAGACGAGTCGATGGAGTTCCTGTTGGGGAAAACGGGTTATTTCCCACACGAACGTAGTTTTAAAATTGACCTAAAATGTCAAGATTAAAACCACCAAAGGTTGCACAGCGGATAAACATGTCAAACTATTGAATATTGAAACACAATAGAAAAGAACCGAATAAAAAATAATAAAGGAAAGAACACAACAAATTTACGAGGTTCGACGAGAATATCGTCTACTCCTCGAGCACCACACCGGATGATAACTTCACTATATCGCCAATATTACAACAAATGGAATTTTTTGGAATTCCCAAAGTGGGAGAATGAATAATACAAGAGGAAGAGAGAACAGTTTTTGGAATGATTTCTAATGGAAATACTTAGGCCTATTTATAGTTGAGTTTCAAGAACAATATGTTCAAAGTTTGGCCACCTACCAAAGAATTTTCCAATGTGTACAAGTTAGCCACCAAATATAAAATTCACATGTTCAAAGTTTGGCCACCAACCAAGATGAAATTTCCAATAAGTTGGCCACCAACCAAGATAAAATTTCCAACTTGTCAACTTAATTTCTAGACAAATCTAACAAATCTCCACCTTGGCTTGAAATTACCAAGCCTACTCAACTTCTTCAACTCCCCAAATTTGTAGTGCCTCTAATTGCGCTCACAAGCGCCACACACCCGAAGGTGTTCAAACTTTCATGATGTTAATCAAGTTCAAACAATGATTGAACTTGATTACTGTTACCACCTTGGTCATCATATCTGCAGGATTTTCTAATGTCGCAATTTTCTGAAGTAGAATCTTTTCTTCTTCAAAGATCTCCCGCACAAAGTGATACCTCACGTCGATATGCTTAGTCCTTGAATGGTAGACTTGATTTTTTGCTAAGTGAATAGCGCTCTGACTGTCACAATAGAGACTAATGTGACTTTGAACAACTCCCAAGTCTTCCATCAACCCGTTAAGCCAAATTGCTTCCTTTACAGCCTCTGAAATTGCCATGTATTCTGCCTCTGTAGTAGACAAGGCCACCGTAGATTGCAATGTAGACTTCCAACTTACTGGGGCTTTAGCAAGAGTAAACAAATACCCAATAGTTGATCGACGCTTATCCAAATCACCAGCATAATCGGAATCAACATATCCAACCATACACTGACCAAGTGCTTCATCCTGTTCAAAAACTAAACCAACATCCACGGTTTGTTGGAGATACCGTAGAATCCATTTCACAACTTGCCAATGTCCTTCTCCAGGATCATGCATGTACCTGCTCACAACTCCAACTGCTTGTGAAATGTCAGGACGCGTACACACCATTGCATACATCAAGCTCCCAACTGCATTAGCATATGGAACTTTTGCCATATACACTCGTTCTTCGTTAGTTTTAGGAGATAATTGAGAACTAAGTTTCAAATGAGAAGCCAATGGGATACTTACATGTTTGGTATTTTCATTCATGCCAAAACATTGTAATACCTTTCTCAGATACTGCTTCTGTGTTAAACAAAGCTTCCATCTCTGTCTATCTCTGCTTATCTCCATACCAAGAATCTTCTTGGCCTCACCTAGATCTTTCATCTCAAACTCTTGATTCAACTGAGCCTTTAATTTGTCTATCTCCTTTTGACTCTTCGAAGCGATCAACATATCGTCAACGTACAAGAGAAGATAAATGAAAGATCCATCTTTGAGCTTTTGCAAATACACACAATGATCATATTTGCTTCTAGTATACTTTTGCCTCCTTATAAAGCTATCAAATCGCTTGTACCACTGCCTCGGAGATTGCTTCAATCCATATAGCGATTTGTTCAGCTTACAAACTCATTTCTCACGACCACCATCTTTGTATCCTTCTGGCTGTGTCATATAGATCTCCTCTTCTAAATCACCGTGCAAGAAAGCCGTCTTTACATCAAGTTGAGCTATCTCCAAATTCAAATGTGCTACCAAGGCCAACAATATTCTAATGGAGGAATGCTTCACAATAGGGGAAATTACTTCATTGTAGTCAATTCCCTCCTTTTGAGCGTAGCCTTTAGCTACCAACCGTGCCTTGTAGCGAACATCTTTCTTGTTATGAGATCCATCTTTCTTTACAAATACCTACTTGCATCCAATGGCTCTTTTACCTTTTGGTAATTGTGCCAGTTTCCAAGTGTCGTTCTTTTGGAGAGATTGCATTTCTTCATCCATGGCACTTTTCCACTTATCACTTTCCAAGCTTTGTATTGCTTCTTGGTAAGTGATAGGGATATCATCATCAATAACTGGAAGAGCATAGGCCACCATATCAACAAATCGAGCAGGTCTACAAATTTCTCTCCTTGGCCTTGTAACTGCAAGTGTTTCTGGTGTCTCCAATGGTTCTTGGGTTTGAACCTCTTCATCTTCTGATTCTTCTATTGGAGTTGAAGAATCAGCTACATCAACTTCTGGGATCATCATCTGCTGAAACTCCACCTGTTTTGGAGTATGCTCCACCTGCTGCGGAGTACTACTTGTCTGGACAGCTTCACTTGTTACCTTCTTTACTAGGGCAGATTCATCAAAGGTAACATCTCTGCTACAAATTATCTTCTTGGTGTCTAAACACCAAAGGCGGAATCCCTTCACTCCATGGGTGATTCCCATAAAGAGAGCCTTCTTTGCTCTCGGATCAAGCTTGGATTCCTTCACATGATAATAAGCAGTGGATCCAAATACATGTAAGGAATCATAATCAGTAGCAGGTTTTCCAGACCATACCTCTAATGGTGTTTTTCCTCCTATCGCTGATGACGGTAGACGATTAATGAGATGGCCAGCATATGTCACAGCCTCAGCCCAAAATGCCTTGCCTAACCCAGCATTAGACAACATACATCGAACTTTCTCCAATAGTGTTCGATTCATATGCTCTGCCACCCCATTCTGTTGTGGTGTATGTCTAACAGTGAAGTGTCGAACAATACCATACTCATGGCAAACGTCAAAGAATGGGTCACTTTTATATTCCCATCCATTGTCCGTCCTAAGACGTTTGATCTTTCTACCAGTCTGGTTCTCGATCATATTTTTCCATTTCAGGAAAATTTGAAGCACTTAATCTTTATACTTCATCGGATACACCCAAACTCTTCTGGAAAAGTCATCTACAAAAGTTACAAAATAATGGTTTCCTCCCAAAGACGATGTCTTTGAATGACCACATACATCTTAGTGAATATAATCTACAATACCTTTTGTATTATGTATAGTGGTGCCAAACTTCACTCTCTTCTGCTTTCCCAGAACACAATGCTCGCAAAAGTTCAATTTGCAAGCCTTTGCACCTTTCAACAATCCTTTCTTTGCCAGAATTTGCAAGGATTTCTCTCCAGCATGTCCCAACCGCATATGCCACAACTGGGTTGCGTCCAAATCATTACCTCCGAAAGCTGCTGCAACTGCTCCAATAATTGTACTACCTTGGTAGTAATACAAATTATTTTTCCTGATGCCCTTCATCGTCACAAGTGCGCCATATGTGACTTTAAAAACTCCATCTCTCATAGTGACTACTGAGCCTTTGGATTCTAAGGCTCCCAACGAGATGAGATTTTTCTTCAAACTGGGCACGTATCGGACATCCGTCAGAACTCTGGTTGATCCATCTTGATTCTTCAATCGAATTGAACCTATCCCAACAGTTTTACAGGCATTGTCATTGCCCATATAAACAACTCCTGCATTTAGTTCCACTAAATCGGAGAACCACTCCCGATTAGGGGACATATGATAGGTGCAACCCGAATCTAATATCCACTCATCGAAATGGAATGTTGTTGATGAAGCAACCAATGATATGTCAGAGTCATGTGCATCATGCTCTGCAACACATGCATCTGGAGCAGCTTTTCCTTTCTTCTTCAGCTTCGGACAATTTTTCTTCCAATGGCCTTTCTCATGACAAAAGGCACATTCATCTTTTCCCAGTCTGGACTTCGACTTTGATCTCCCTCTCCACTTTGGCTTTTGACTTTTCGAGCGACCTCTTGCCACCATGACCTCCACTGCTTCGTACTTGCTCTCTTTCTTGGTTTTCTTCCTGAGTTCATAACTATACAAAGCAACAGTTACATCTTTAAGGGTAACATTATCCTTACCATGAAGTAATGTTGTCTCAAGGTGCTCAAATTCATCTGGAAGAGATGACAACAACATCAAAGCCAAATCTTTATCTTTGAAGGTTTCATCCATGCCCAATAAGTCTTCCACTAGCTCATTGAACGCAGTGATGTGTTCATTCATACTGGTGCCTGGTTGATAATCAAATCTGAACAATCTTTTCTTCATGTGGAGACGATTCTGAGAGCTTTTCTTCAGGAATTTTTCCTCCAAAGCTTTCCATATCTTACTTGCAGAAGTCTCGTTCTTGTAGCCATACTTCTGCTCCCTGGAAAGACAAGATCGAATCGTGCTGCACGCCAAACGATTGATTGTTCCCCATTCTTTCTCCTCCATATATTCGGGCTTTTCTTCCTCAATGGCGATGTCTAGACCTTGTTGGAATAAAGCGTCTAACACCTCGCCTTGCCACATGCCAAAATGACTGGATCCATCGAACAACTCCACCGAGAAATTTGCATTTGACATCACCATTCTCACCGGTCTAGATGAAGAGCTTGATGTCTCAACTAATCCGTATTTTGGCATTTTAATTCTAACGAACAATATTCAATATCACGAACTGTATCTTTTCAGCAACGGAACCACCAGGATAACCTCAACCGAAGCTTTGATGCCAATTGTTGGGGAAAACGGATTATTTCCCACACGAACGTAGTTTTAAAATTGACCTAAAATGTCAAGATTAAAACCATTAAAGGTTGCACATCGGATAAACCTGTCAAACTATTGAATATTGAAACACAATGGAAAAGAACCGAATAAAAAACAATAAAGGAGAGAACACACCAAATTTACGAGGTTCGACGAGAATATCGTCTACTCCTCGGGCACCACACCGGATGATAACTTCACTATATCGCCAATATTACAACAAATGGAATTCTTTGGAATTCCCAAAGTGGGAGAATGAAGAACACAAGAGGAAGAGAGAACTTGTTTTTGGGATGATTTCTAATGGAAATACTTAGGCCTATTTATAGTTGAGTTTCAAGAACAATATGTTCAAAGTTTGGCCACCTACCAAAGAATTTTCCAATGTGTACAAGTTAGCCACCAAATATGAAATTCACATGTTCAAAGTTTGGCCACCAACCAAGATGAAATTTCCAATAAGTTGGCCACCAACTAAGATGAAATTTCCAACTTGTCAACTTAATTTCTAGACAAATCTAACAGTTCCCAAGGAGAGTGAAATCAACGAAAGACATGAAAGGATTCATCGCAAGATCTGTGGTTGGGCATGGAAAATAGCCACGGGGAGTTGCTTTGGCATTGAAACAGGCCATATGAACATTGACTCGTCATGTTTCCCAAAGAGCTACTGCACCTATGCATTGTTTTCTCTATCTGTTTCTCTATGACTCAAAGGATCAAAGCCCAAACTACACCCCTTTCACCTCAATTTCAACACTATGGTGTATCAGAAAATATCAAATGAAAACGAAGAGGCAAGGGGATTGCAGTTGGAAAAACCCCGATAAAAATATAAACCAAGTATAATAAAAATGTATAGCAAAATACTACGGCACTAGTACTGATATATATATTAAGGAAGCGAAAATGTTTGTGAGTTGAAGGGTTATTGTTGAGAGCAAATGGCAATGGAATTTGTCGTAGCAAAAGGAGGGGGTTGGGTAGTTAAAAAAAGGGCCACGTGAGTAGGGTAACAGTCTTCCATGTTCCTATCTGCCTTCTCCGATCACGAGACCCCAAACCAAAAAAAAAAACACTGCCTCTATCCGTATCTCTGCCCCTCTCCTCTGTCACTGTCAGCCTCCCAAGGAAAATGGAACACTTCTCTTTCATGCTCCTCTATTCGCAACTCCCATGAACATTGATCAATCGGTAACATTGGTTAAGTTATATGATAATGAATAAATGTAACTTGATATAGATGCAGAGCTATCTCGAATATTTTTGGAAACCTTAACGAAAATAAAAATAGATCATGATTGAAGGAAAATATACTTTATTACTTTAAACAATTAATTTAATATCGTAGAAAAATTATTAAACTTTTTCGAATATTAATTTCATTGTTTTGTTAAGAAAACATCTTAAATACAACTAAGAGAATAAAAAATGAATGTAGATATAAATTATGATATGGAGTTTTATTCTGATTAATAAATTGAAAAAATAAAGAATAACACATTATGTTATCGTGAGATTGAGATTGGAGAAGACTAATAATTAAAAAATGTTTGGTAAATTGAAAAATAAGATTTGTAAAAAAAAAAGACAAATATAATTAGATTTAATTCAAAATTAAATGAATTAACGAGAGAGATGGAGAAAGGGATGATAAATTGATAATTTTATGAAATTGTAAAAAATTAGAGGCCTTAATTATAAAGGTAGAAACTGAAATTGAAAAAAATATGGGCCTCAATTATAAAGGTATAATTGAGATCGAAAATTCTTAGGGACCTCAATTAGAAAGTTAGAAAATGAGATTAAAAAAGCTTAAGGGCCTCAATTATAAAGTTAAAAAAAGTGAGATTAAAAAATTAGGGGCTTCAATTATAAAGGTAGAAATTGAGATTGAAAAAAAAAATAGAGGCCTTAATTGAAAAGGTAGAAAGTGAGATTGAAAAAAACTTAAAAGCCTCAATTATAAAGTTAAAAGTGAGATTACAAAATTAGGGGCCTCAATTATAAAGGTAAAAAAGGGATTGAAAAAAAATTAGAGATTTCAATTATAAAGATAAAAAGTTAGATTGAATAATATTAGGACCACAATTATAAAGGTGAAAAATAAGATTTAAAAATTTAAGGACCTAATTATAAAGATGAAAGAATGAGGGTCCCAATTACAAGAATGAAAAAATGGGGGGCCTTAGCACTCACTCAAGGCTCTCTCCCTAATAGTCGGGTCTGTAGATGTTCATCTTATGCAATTCTCATGGTTGACAGTGATAAGTTCATCTCAACGACAGTTGATTCCTTTATATTTGATTTGACCAAAAAGTCACGGTTAGTAATTAAATGATTATTAATCAACATTTTTCACGAAATAAATGAAAGTATTAAGGGAATTTAGGAACAAAGGAGAAAAATAAAATAGAAAGAGACTCTTTCTATCTTTTTTTCATAGTATTATACAATGGTTGATGTCAAGTCTAGATTTATTATGTTTGTTAATAGATTGATAAAATTTGCTAATATGGATGTCAACTATCAAGTTTAATTATGTCAAACGTCGCGTCAAAGATTGTGGATGTATAAATATTAAAGATCGATAACATGTGTCTCAATTAGATGATTAAATTTATTGAATTAAATTAAAATTATGACCAAATTTTATTAACTGCATTAAATGTTAACGACAAATGATATGATTGATATTATTTAAAAATTAAATAATTAAATTGATAAAATTAAAAATCAATGGTGAAACTAGAAAAAACAATAATAAAGTCGTCAAAGCCTATAGGTATACTTAAAAAAATACATTCACAAATCTTCTCAAACTATCCTTGCAGCCAAATCGTTAAATCCTCCCACTACCTCTGCACTTTCAGTTCCCGGCCCAAGCCTTCTTTTGACATCAAGTTTCCTATGGATCGTGAAATTGAATATGAAGGACTAAATAAGGTATTGGGCTAACAGGCAGCTTCCCTACTAGACCCGATCTTTATCATTTTAGTATATTTTGAAATTTCCTCTCGTTTAAACCCTGCACCTTCTGCTTAAACCCTAGCTCTCTAAACCCAAACTCCCATCTCTTTACACCAGTAACCATGGAGACTGAAATCTGCATATCCTCCATGGAGTTTAAAGTTCAAGAGTTGTTGAAAGAGGTTCGTCTCCATTATTCTCCTGAACTTACCAAGCTAGTCGATGATACCGTTGCCGCCATCAAATTTTCCCTAGATAAAATTCCTGAAGATCTTCAGGTATTTTAATTCTTTGTTTAATTAGTTGTTTTTACCCCATAAACGGGAGGGGAATGGTAATGAATCTATTTTCCAAGGTTACTGCGGATTGGGCTCCGAGTTTTGTGAGAGATATTGGCGCAGACAAAGCAGAATTTAAATTTAAGAAGCCGGAGTCTATTGAAATTGGTGGAAGTTATTCAATAGGTTGTGTAGCAAACCCGATACTAATATTGATCTTCTCCTCCGGTTACCGAAGGTGCATTTATTTTCAAATTGTAATGTTTTATTTGCTTTAGTATTCAATTAGCTTGTAGCGTATATATTTCATGCGTAGCATGTGAGAAGTTTATTTTATGCAATTGTGCGAAGCATTAAATAAAATGCTTGAATTTCGTTGTTATCATTTGATGAGTTAGAAATTACTCTGATGGTTTTAATTTGGGTTTGATAATCTGTTCATTAATATGAAGTTTCAAAGGTTGGTTCTTTTTTCTAACAATTTTAAATATGTCAGGAATGTTTTCATGAGAAAGACTATCTAAATTATCGATATCACGCTAAAAGATGCCTTTACCTTTGCGTTATTAAGAAGTACTTGCAATCCTCTTCATCAATTCAGAAGGTTGAATGGTCCACTCTGCAAAATGAGGCTAGAAAACCTGTATTGGTTGTCTATCCAGGTTTATTTCTGAATTCTCACTAAAATCAACCTTGTTGCAATATGATGAGTTGTTAGTTCCATAAACTTTTCAGACAACCCCTGATTTAGTGAAATTTAAATAATGACATTGTAGCTGCAAACCTTGATGAAGTGCCTGGGCTTTTTATAAGAATAATTCCCACTGCAACATCCCTATTCAATCCTTCAAAGTTGAATGTGAAGCGGAACAATGTTCGAGCTCTAAATACAGGTACTATTAGTTGTTGGTTACTCGATTCAATTTTTTTCTTGTGCTCTAGGGTGAATGTCCATTTCTTTTTCCTGATGATGTATGTCTATAATTGTAATGAAGGTGATGTTCCTCAGCCTACACCAATATATAATTGTAGCATATTGGAAGACATGTATTTGGAGGATAATTCAGAATTTGTTAAGAAACTTTTTTCTGGATGGAAGGAATTGGGAGAGGCCTTAATATTGCTGAAGGTATGATGTCATATATTATGCATTTCAAATATTGTGTTTTTCATGCCAATACATTGCATCTGTAATTTTAGTATACTATTGGTGCAGGTCTGGGCTAGGTTGAGAAGTTCGATATATGTTCATGATTGCTTAAATGGGTTTCTAATATCCATTCTAGTGTCATACCTTGTGGCTACAAATAAGATTAACCGTGATATGATGCCAATGGGATATTTCGTGCCACATTGAAATTTATTGGTATGCATTTCAAACATTGTGTCTTTCTAATAAGTAATTGTCAAATTTAATTAGAATTTCAAATTGTCATTGTTCCACAGAAACTTATCCATTGTGGAAACATGGACTTTACCTTCCAACAATAGACCAGAATGATTCCTCAAAGGTCTGTTATAATATTTGTTGGCTATTGTACCTTTTGGTGTATGATCCTTGAATGTGATCCTTTTAAATGTTCTATTATTTAAGTTAACTTAATTGGACACAACATGTTGTGGATGCTTGTGAACTTTCATTTTCTAGATCAGTGATTGAAATAGCCAAAATGAAATTTGATACCCTTTTCTGAACTGTCCAATCCATGGTTGAGCATCAAGTGGATTTTTAGTCTAGATATTGTGTTTTAACTTTTAAGGTATAGCAGTAATTGATTTTTGAACTTCCTACTAAACATTTTCAAGACTCCATTCTTTAATTGATTGTTGTTTAAAATTTAACCTTGGTACCTTGTATTGTACCTTGTATTTTACATTGATATTCATTCATGTATATATCATTGGGCTTTTGAATTGCAGGGAAATGAGCAACTTAATTCTTCAACTCGTGTCAATTTGGCTTTCAGAATATCAAATGTTGCTTATTCCGAGGTACTATTATTTAGCAATAATTGGTGGCCGAGTCCCCATATAATCACGGTTCAAAGACCTATATGATGATTTTATAAAATTCCAACAGCATTATTCTTCAAAAGATTCAATACCTATATATTAACTTTTACTACTATAATTTGAAATGGCATCTTTAAATTTCTCATTAATTCTAACTGCATCAAATTTTCTAAGAAATGTGTATTTCCTCCCACAATCAGCTACAAGATGAAGTTGCATTGACGCTTAGGTGTTTAGAGAAATCCAGAGATGGTGGATTTGAGGAAATTTTTGCTACCAAGGTTGATAATGCTTCTAGATACGATTATTGCTTTAGGTATGCATCAATAACATCATTGTTTTTGTGGATTTGAGGAAATGTTTGCTACCAAGATTGATAATGCTTCTAGATACGATTATTGCTTTAGGTGTGCATCAATAACATCATCGTTTTTCTTTGTTACTTGTCTCATAGAAAACAATAGGTGGTAGTTGTGATCATGAATTCAGTTTGTTCCATCCTCTGGTTATTAAACAATTGCATTTGAGAATTTAGAAGCATTTGTGTCCAATTTTAATTATTGTCTTTACTTTCTGTTTTGATCTTATGGCATCAACCAAGGAAGAGTTATATGGTCTGTGAGTAACTTGACATTATCATTTGATTTTGCTTCGAATTTGAAGTAAACAATTTGTGATCTTACTAAATGCATCTCTCTCTTGGTGCCTAGCTGTTTAAAGCTACTTTCAAATGATGCACTCCTGTTGCTACCTGTATTTATGATGCTTTCTGGAGGCTTGTGAAGTTTATCACTTTGTAATGATTATTCACATCTATTCCCTTGTCAGGTTGAACTTGAAAGGAAATAGAGATGTTTATTCTCTGGGATTTTGCTTGGACGATGAGTGTTGGAGAGTGTATGAGCAGGATGTACATAATCTGCTTAATCAAGGATTAAATGATAGAGCAAAGTTCATCCGTGTTTTTTGGAGGAACACTTATTCAGACTTTAATGTTGAAAATGTAGAGCCTACCATTGACTTCAGTTTCTATTTTTTTAAATTATAATTCTACTAATCCTATGCATGAATCCAGGGCTTATCAGCACTTGATTGTGAGCCATTATTTGTTGGAATTTTGGTAAGCTCCATAGAGAAGGCTTTTAGGGTTGTAGATATTGGTCCAGATGCTGAAAAGAAAGATGAGGTATTTGTTTTCATTTTCTTATTAAAATGTGTATAAGTTGATAGCCCTAGCTATTGCGTTTGGATTAATCTTCATTTTCCTGCAACAGGCTCTCATGTTCCAAAATTTTGGGGTGAAAAGGCTGAGCTCCGAAGATTTCAAGATGGTAAAATTGCGGAAAGCACAGGTTAGGAAGTCTTGATCCCGCATTTTTTATTCGAGAACTAAGTTGTCTAATTAACACTGCAAACTCTATTCTTCAAGCAAGTATGAAGAGAGGTTAATCTTGATGCTCACCGTTTTTATAGTGTGGGAAAGTGAGCAGAGTTCAAGACATCTCATTTTAAAAAGAATTGTTGAGTTTTTACTAGAGCGCCATCTTTCTTTATTGGAAAAGGATATCGTCTCAGTTGTGGATCAGCTTGATTTTTCTCTTCTACATGATGGTAAAGGTAATCACGTTAACTGTTAAATCCTTGCAGTGACTTTTTTTTTCCTCTATGGTTAATCATGCATGCTTTGATGATACCATTTTCTTAGACCTGGTATCACAGTCTGGAAGACTGCTTGGAGCATTTGAAGAATTGTCTAAACGTTTGCACTCTATTGAAGATGTTCCCTTGAGGATATCTAGTGTTCAGCCTCTCGATTCTGGTATTTTCGTCTTAGAAAAGCTTTCCTCATATGATATTTTTTTAATCTTTTGAGGAATTTTGTGGGCTTTGGGGTCCAAGGGTTATTCTGATGTTCCTTGAAGCAATGGATAAGCTGGTACCTGCTGTTTGAATAAGCAGTCATGATTTTTTGGTTTAATTTAATCGCATTCACAGCTTTCAGGTATACATCTGTTTTTCCTCCTGAAGCTCATCCTGTGGCAAATAAAAAGCTTGATGTGGAAAGGCTACATAATTTGACCCCACTCTCTGTCCAGTCACTTGAAGTTTTGATTCAGGCATGTTATTATTTTGCCAAGTGATTCTTTTCTTTTTCTTATTCAGAAAATTGATTTAATTTATTTTTTCCCCTGATTATTTAGTTGGAGGGTTCTGGAAATTGGCCAATGGATGATGTCTTAATTGAGAAAACTAAAGCAGTGTTCCTTCTCAAAATTGCTGAGAGGTAAGTTAAGAAGGCCGCATTTAACCCTAGGCTATGTTAAATCTAACATTTCTTTTTTCTAATTAATGAAGTGTTATGGCAGTCTCCAGGATAACTGGGGGATGACATGCACTGCTTCTGAGGAAGATGTGGATGTTTTCATGGGTGGATATGCATTTCGCCTTAGAATTTTGCATGAGAGGGGGCTAAGTCTGGTGAACAAAGAAAGTATGAACTCTCATCTTGATATGTGAAGTATTTATTATTGACCTATTGTCAGTAGAGTTAAGGATTTTGTTTATCTGTAGTTGGACGTGATCAAACGAAGCGGGTTTCAGCTCCTGATAAAGTACTTTTGTTCGTAGTCAACATGCAAGCATGATTAATGGATTACAGTTCCGTTACCCAATATTGGGCCTGTTGTTAGGTGCCAATTTGACTTGTTTTAGTTTGTAGAGTCCTTTCATTTGGATTTTAATTTTTGAAATTATTTCATCTGGTTTAAAGAAAAGATTTGTAATCTTTCACTAATTTTGTGGATTCTGTTTGTGAAGGCTTGCAAAACGGTGG